TCAAGGCAGTACACTGTTGAATATGTAACATTTCAAATATGTGATGTTTGATTATTGGAAATTGGCAGGCGTTGAAGCATGCACACTGCCTTGAACACTTTACAGTCATTCTCTCACATTCCTCTTGTACACAAAGGCTAATCCGACCATGTCTCTCCAATGATACAATGATGCAACTAAATTTTCAGGGGGAATGTATGGCCCTGGAGTTTACCAAGACTGCATCAATTGTCAAGGTCACTTTCACTAATCCTCCCTCACCAGAGAAAGCTTGCTGGCATGCTAGCTGAAAAGTTGCCTGCAACAATCCACACTAGGGTAAGGTGGCTCTATGACAACTCTGGAGGAATATTAAGATAATCTGCAGCTTGTTTCAAGCTCAGGAGGTCACAATTCAGAGCAGGGTTGAGGCCCTGAAATTTTATTTAGGCTCTGATGTTAAGAAGAAAGTTGTAAAATAATGATTGTTTTGTATAATCACTTTCCTAGATTCTCTGTTTTTTTGATACTAACCAATTTATGATTTTGGGTAGGGGACTGACTGGGTTTTTGTCCAATAGATTAAAATTATTGCATGATTATATACATCTTTGTCAGCAATATTGTCAACAAGAAAAAAGTCATAAAGTGGTTTTGATTTTGTTTGGTATGTTATGTTATAAATCAATCATTTTCATAAATTCTCTGTTTCTCTTTGATTTTTATTTGGCCAACTGAACTTGATGTTTTTTAAAGGGGACATTTGCCCATATAATCCACCCTAGGTATACATGCAGCCCAAATTGGTTTGGTGATTTCAATGGTCAAAATTATTCCAATTTTGATGGTAGAAAGTAGAAATTAATTACGGTACTCACTATTAAAAACATATGTGTAACACCCCTTTACTACAAGTGTAACCCCTTTTATGACAGTGTCAAAATACTTTGGGCTGCATGTATAACCCTAGGATAAAGGATTGTAGCTCAAATGTGAGCATGTATCTCACAAGTATAAAGGTGGCAGTTTGATTCTGTCCACTTCTATTGTGATAGTCACCATGATCACTGGCATCAAGATGAAAGCTGTAAAATAAAATGGTTCAGATTTGTATGTTATATATAAATTAATCATTTTCCCAAATTTGCTGTTTCTCTTTTAATTGTTATTTTGACCAACTGAACTTGTTATTTAAATGGGGTAGGGTTGTTGACGAGTGGGCATGCCACCAACAAAACAGCAACCCAGGTTGCAACCTCAAGTTGCAGAATTTTGAATCAGTCTTAACACCAACTTTATTTTAGAGGGGAATAACACAAAGCAATCATCACACAAGCACCAACTATCAGTGATCAATGCCAAGCCTGGTCTGAGAGGAAGATAGGGAAAGTTTTGCCCAAAGTCTTCCAACATGTTCAATTGCCTTGCTTGTGGGAAAAAGTTCTATGGGGACAGAGTGTGCATTGCATTGCAATTACATATTTGTGATAGGAGATTTTAATACATGCAGTCAACATCAGATTCATTATTCAAATTGATAATCATCAACTGCTCATGTTAAAATTCTTTGATTTTTTTAAATTTTGACTAATAAATAAAAATACTGAACCAATTGGAATCAAAATACCACTATTAGGATGACATTCTGCTCTGATTTATGATTATGTGTGTTTGTGCCTCATATTTGACTCATATAATAAAAAAACAATATAATTATTTACTAATTTGTATTAAATAAATACAATTCATTTATTAATGTAGGAAGGGTCATTAAATTATTGTTGTTGCCTCTTAGACATAAGGTTGATATTTTATGTGGTAGTAATAGCAATTCCAAAACTCACTATACTAGTTAAATTAAAAGATATATATATAATCATGCATTTTCTTTTACAAGTAAAAAATATAATGTGAATTTTTCTATTGATAAAGAACTCTTTTAATAATTTACCATTAGCTATTCCAACCTTGAAAACAAAGCTTATTAGTAAAGAATTATATTATTTACTAAGGAATTATACATTTGAGATGTGGATCATAGAAGTTGACCTTGTTTCCATTGTCCATGCCTCACCAACCCAATTATTTCTAAAAATTAAAATGGTGGCTTCTTGTTAAGTTTTATTGAAATTACAAGTTCAAATAATTTGTTATGACATGATTAAAAATTTGAAGGCGTAAATTTCAACGAGTAATTCTTTTCCGTTTTTTTAGTAAACCATAGCTAAAATCTTGCAAGGAAATAAAATAAGTCCCAAAGAATGCGCGTACAAAATATCACGTTTCTGGTTAAAACTCCATGTGGGTGTACTAGGTGACGAATGAAAAAGTTCCTTCAATTTTTAATATATAGTAAAAATCGACATGTTGCATAAATGTCGTCTGACTGATATATATTAATATATATTTAATTTTATGACTTGTAAATAAAAAAACTACTATTAAAAGCATTTTGAATATCCTGAGATCTGCATATTAAAATTTCTATTATCATCATTGATAGAATAGGCGTAACTTCTTTTCTAATGTATACACAGCCTATTTGAAAACCTTGTCGAGATCAAGTTAAAGAAGATAAACGACGATGGCGTCAAGAGAGAATATCAGCTGAAAGAGTAAACATTTGGCCAAGTATTAAATTTATCAAGTGAATCTTTATGTAATTATTCCATCTAACCGAATTTTCTGCTTTGCTCTAATCATATTCATTCTGCTTTAAGAACCACACAATGGTCCGACTTTGTTTAGTAATGTCAGAACCTGCTATTTATTTTTTTAGCGTGTGAGAAATTTTATTTATATATATTACATATCCTTATTTATACTTGAATGAGAAAAAAAATTATGATGATATTATTTTATTAATTTATATTTTATTTTATTTTATTTATAATTTGTATTAATCGTGTTCGACAGACTTGTAAAATAGTGACCTGACCATTTAAAGCTTTTGCCGAGTTTTTTTTCTTAAAAAGCATTTCAATGAAATATAACGTAAATCCTTCATTGAGAATCATTTCCATCCTGATACTGTCATTTTAAAGATCGGCGAATTTTGATTTTTAACGTTTTTTGATTTTTCAAAATGTCTAATAAAAATTATCCATCTTTTGAAAAGATCAATATTTTTTTTAACAATCTTATCAAATCCAACAAGGACGCTTTAACATTAAAATATTTTAACAAACTTTTAAACAATTTGACAAACTTGTTGAATGAATTTGATAATGATGTAGAAATCAAAGTCGAGGATGAGGAGAATGTTGAAACTTTCAAAGCTCATTCCAACATTTTGAAAGCAAGATCTTTGTATTTTAAAACTGTATTGTTAGATGATCACATGAAAAAATCTGAAAATGGGATCATTTTACTTGAAAAGAAAAATGTTCTCCAAAAGTGTTTGAAGGTCTTTTAACGTAAAAAATTATCTCTTAATATAAAAAAAACCAAATATATCTAAAAAGTTTAAAAAAATTATTTTTTCTAAAGATACATTTACAATGGAACTTTTAATATTGATAATTTCAATCCAGATGAAATTCTTAAACTATTGGAAGCTTGTGACGAATTAAATTTTAAAGAGTTGATTAAAGATTTGCAAAATCATTTAATTATGGAAAGCAAAGAATGGATTCAGAATGATCTAATTCATGTTCATAAATTTTCATCGAAGCGTCAAGAAGTATTCGGCATACTGCAAGTTCATTGTAATGAATTATTAATATTATTAATTGATAAAAATCCCGAGTTAGTTTTAAAGTCTGATAGCCTTGCAGCCATCAAAAAATCCATATTAGAAAGCGATTTGTTGGTATTGAAAGAAATTGAAATTTGGGATCATATTTTACGATGGGACGTTGGACAAAGTAAGGCATTTGAAAACCCCGTTTTGGAGTGGATCAAAGGTGATTTCAATGAAAAAAATTTTGAATGATGTTATTCCATTAGTAAGGTTCAACTTAATATCTTCGAACGATTTTTATAAAAAAATCAATCCATAGAAGAAAATATTTGATAGAGATTTATATGACGAGTTTCTTCAGCAACATCTTTGTAATGATTGGCAGCCAAAATTATTGTCTCAAAAATGACCAAGGATAGGAAACGGAATAAGAAAAGGAAAATTATTAAATCCAGAAATGGAATGTTTGATATCTAGCTGGGTTGATGCAGAATATGAAAATGACACTGATTACGAAATAGGAGGAAACTTGCCACGTAACAATAAATATGAATCGATTTTTAGCAGTTCTGAAGATGGAACTTCAAGGACAGTTATTGAAGAGAAATGCTACAACATTAAACAAACAGTTGTTATTATGAAACTTAAAGAGACAGTAGAGTTAGTTGGGGGATACAATCCAATTTGCTGGAATTTGAGGAACGATCTCTAGATGATGATTATTGTATCAAAACTGATAAAAGTTTTATTTTTAAGATTGATCAAGATGAAATAATTAATTCAGTATTGAGCAGGGTCAAACATCCTAATAGGGCAATATGTCATAATAGACAATTTGTGGATCTTACCGTAGATGATATAAAGTTTCATGAAAGGCTAATAGATTTTTGTGATTTAGACATGCGTAACAGTGTTAATAATGACACCTATTGCTGTTATGATCATGAACACTTTAATAGTTACAAAAAAAGATTTAGATTTTAAAGATAAGAACAAGAAAGTTTTTTTTGTTGGAAGAATTGGAAGTATATAAATTAATTGTAAATGTTTTGCATTAATTATCATATTTTTTAGACTTGGTCACATGATCAGTCACAGTAAAAAAAAAATCTCGATTAAAAATATACAAAATTTCTCTCCTCAAATTTTTTATTTTAGTTATCATTTTATTTTTGTTTTGTTTTTATGTTTTTTGTTTGTTTTATAATTTTAAAAGCTATTTACAAATATTTTTTTTAAAAGTAAAAATGCAAATTCATTAATATATATATATATATGTATATATATGTATATATTAAAAAACCCCCCTATGATTGATTAATCGAAAAAATAAAATTTGCTACACTGCTATGTTACACGCACTACTATATTGACTACTATTATTCACTTTTTTTAATTTTATAATTAAAATTTCTGTTGAAATTGATGATGGTGAAGACGATGATGATGAGCAGCAGAACTAGCCAATTGTTGATCTACAATATTATATGGTAAAGTCGAGTTTGTTGTTGTGGAAGATGACGGTAAAAAGTATCTTTGTTGTTGTTGGTCATTATTTACTACTCTTGTTGCTGCTAATAATGAAGAAGATGACGATCTCTCTTCTTCCGTTTGTTCTGATAATTGTTGTTGCTTTTGTAATTGTAGTTGTATTTGATAATGATATTGTTGTAATTGATATTCTCGTTGTTGCTGCTGTTGTTGTTGTAATTGATATTCTCGTTGTTGTTGTAATTGTATTAGATGATGATGGTGTTGTTGTTGTTGATATTGTTGTTGTTGTAATAAATTATCATTATTATTTTGTTGTTGTTGTTGTAACTGTTGAAGTTGTAATTGGTGCTGAAGTTGTAATTGTTGTTGATAACGATTTAGATTTTGCATGGAATTTTGATTTTGATTACTATTGTTATATTGATGTTGGTTTTGATTTTGTAAATGCAATTGGTGTTGTAAATGCAAATGATGTTGACGATGTAGTGACGGAGAAGGATTTGTTATAAATTGATTGTTCCTGTGTTGATGATTATTGTTATAATATGGATAAGGTGCTGACGAATAATATTGATTAAATATTAATTGTTTTTTTGATTCAAGGATAGCATTAGGAGTAGTAGTTGCAGATACATTATTTTGTGATTGACGTTGGTTATAACAATGTGATTCTAATTGTGATGGAACTATTACTGAGTTTTGTGGTGCAGTAGCAGCAGGATTTGGATTAGGTGTTTGCGTTGGATTAGTATGATGAATTTGGTGTGGATTAATAGTGAAGTTGGTAATATTATTGGCGGTAAAATGCATCATCATAGGATTGGGTGATGGAGTTGTGAGTGGAGTTGAAACAGGTGTTATTGTTGGCGTAGGAATTGAGGAATTATTATCAGATGAAAGATCTGTTTTCGAATTACAAAAATTATAAAGATAAATGTTAAAAATATATATCTAGAAAATCAACTAATTGATTGATTTATTGTATACAATAGAGTTGACAACCAATAAAATAAATTTACCTGTAACCATATTCATGTAATTTGGATAATTAAGATGATGCATAGACTGATCGTTTATTAAACCACCGCCACCATTACCACACTCCAATGATAATTTATGACTATTATTGTTAAGCATAGCGTAATGATATTGTTGTTCGATTCTAGCCATTTGTTCACAAAGTTCTTCGTGTTCATAATAAGGAACAGTTTCCATTATATCCAAAGTTCGCTGTAATCTTGCTTCCAACCATTTTTGTAGCTCGTCAATACAAACAATAGTTTTATACCTTTCGTATGTTGAGAATACCTCGTCAGTCCAATAAATTTGTGATGCTCCGTAATTTATAAATGGTAAAACGTCCAACACTTCATTTGGAATTAGATAATTGATATAAAGCTGATCATGCCTATGTTTAGTAATATCACCATGTGAGCAATTAGCCAGTTAGTAAAAATATGAGATATAACATAATTTATGTAATTATTATTATTTTTCCCGGTTATATATATATATATACCTCAATGTTTTCTTATCTAAACAAAAACTACAACACCTAACGCGAAACTCCCAATAAATTCTAACAAATCCACGTTCATGGCAAAATTGACAACCTTTATCCAATTGTCTTAAAATTATATAACTGGCTTCATTCATTCCAACAGGTGGTGGCATTTGAAGATATTTTAGAAACCTTTGTCGTGAAATCATCCAAGTCTCTTGGACGACTTTATTATTTGAATCACCAAATGACAATAGTCGTTTAAATTTTTTACAAACTGAAGCAAGCACGAACAGATCGTTTGGCGGTAACCTTTTACATATATTATAAAATACTTCATCTGATATTGATAATAATAAACTTTCGCTGTTTCTATTACTGGTAAAAGTTGAACTATTATGATTGTTACTAACAATACTTTTGTTATTGACAATGGAATCATTGGCTAGTAAAGGTGTTGTTGACGTTGATGTTGGACCGTTGTTATTTGGAAGAGAAACAGGAGTTATTGGAGTAGTTATTGGAGTCATTAATAAATCACTGCCGTTACTATATTGTTGATCTTGAAGATTATTCTGATATTGATTTATTATTAATTCAGTTGGAGTTATGGTTGATGTCGTTTTCTTTAATGATGATTCGTTAATTGGTTGTGATAATAATAAAGGTGATTGTTGTTGTTGTTTAGATAATGAAGAAGAAATATCAATTTTAGAAATTTTTGGAGAAATATCAATTTTAGAAATTTTCGGAGAAATATCAATTTTAGAAATTTTTGGAGAAATCATTGTTGATTTTCTTCTTCCTTTCGTTATACCACCACCACTAACACTTGTTGTTGTTGTTGTTGTGTTAACAGTGTTATTTTTACTAGTATTTTTACGAGTTCTTCTCCTAGAAGGAAAAAAAGTTTTTTTTGATTATTATTATTATTATTATAAAAACTTTTAATTGATCCGGATGAAAGGGAAATTTTTTTTTTTAGGGAAAAAAAAGAAAGATCTATTTATATATATTATTGTGATTTGATGTAAATCATCAATAAATAATAATACGTACCCTCTAGTACTAATGTTCGTAGTAGTTGTTGTGACGGCACCATTATTACTTTCGGTGGTATTGTTATTATTATTGTTGTTGAGGATAGGAGAAGAATTAGCTATATTGGTATTGACACTGGTTACTGCTTTGTTACTTGGCGATGATGACGTATTTGTTATTAATTTGCTCATTTTTTTATTAATTTAGTTAACCTTTAAAAATTTAAAAAAAAAAATTTTTATTTTTATTTGAATATTTTGGTGTGGTGGCAATAAAGAGTTTTTATATCAAAAAAAAAAAAAAATCAAAAAAAACCTTTTTAGTTGATGATGTTATTATGATATAATTAATAATAAATTGTGATTGACTAACATGTAAATATGAAAACGTGTTTGTGCATTATTTCTAGACACTAGTTTTTCTTTTCCCCTCGTTAAACCTTAATTACGTACGTACACAAAAAAAAAAATTATGATGATGATGATTATAATATGCACAGGCAAAAAAATCTTTTATCATCTTTCACACACTTACTATCTATAAATAATAATAAATCACAAAATCAATCAAATCCAAAAAAATCAAATCAATCAAAAAAAAAAAAAAGAAAATAAGATTGTTTCACAAAATGCAAGTTACACGACATATTACATATTTATTTGTTGATCTACGTGAAACGATGCAATCAATGTTATAATCAATCTATTCTTTTTTTTTTTCTTTTCATTGTGACAATTTAAATATATATAAATAATACACATACAGATACGTGCATTCACATACAAATTAATATATTGTTATTTGTTTATTATTATTATCATCATACTTTTTTGAGAGGTAAAAAAAACTTAAGCAAAAATAGGAATATTTTAATACGATGTGATTATGTTATTAATGGCAGTTATGATGACAGTGGCTAAGGGCTTATTATTGTTGTTGTTGTTGTTGTTGTTGTTATTTTTGTTGTTATTTTTGTTGCCTGATTACAAGTAAATATACTGCTTCAATGATTGGTTGATGACCATGTGGAATGATACATTCTCTCCTCTCCCAATATATAATTATAATTATTATTGTTATTATTTATGAATTTTAAATCGTTTGATTACGTTTCATTATTATCAATAATAGTATTAGTATGAGATGATTATTATTATAGCATGTGAGAGAGTGAGAAAAAGAAAGAGAGTGAGATATTATTATGGTTTACAATAAAAGAACTCCGAACAAAGAACATCTTTGTTTCGGAATTATAAGTAAATAAATGTTTAGTTAAGAAATTCTTTACTTTTTTACTGGAAAGAATATATACCATTTAAAGTTAGCGAAACTTTATTTGTGGAAACTCGGAACAAATTTTACAAAATAGACATTTTTCCGTGTCACAAGCTGACTTGGTGTAACCTGATAAAGGAAAAAAGACAAACGAACAATATGCAGAATATCATGCGTGGTGTGTGTGTGTATGTGCATAATGTTTGATCACTTTCTCTCCTCACACAAACTAACCCATTCAAACTCGTAAATAGGCTACAATCAAAACCAATAATAAAAATCGAGTGATCTAAGACACACATACACACACATCCAACCAACCAACCAAACAACCAGTTTTTTATTTTTTTCCTTATAAGTTTTTTTTAGTACAAAAGCAAAAAAAGAAGATTCTTTAAAGGCAAAAAACCAAATTTAGGATAGTTATGAAATTCAAATTTCGGAAACAATATCAGATAAAATTATTGATTATGCGACAAATCCCAATCAGGAAAAAAGAATGTGCGCGGGTAACCAAATAAATCATAATAGTAATATAGTAATTACTTATTAAAAAAAAAATCTGCAATATTAAATAACAAAATATTGTCGATACATAGTTAAAAAAGTCAATTAAATCGTTAGTTAAATAGATGCATAGATAGATGTACATATAGATGGACAATTAGATGGTTGGTTGGCCGTCGCCGCTGCCGTTCGCTGCCACCATATCATCGCGATTATTTATTCCAAATTAAAAATTATTTATTAATTAAGCTTAATAATCATTTATACCAATTAGTTTAAATTATGGTTTTATTTGATTTATCTGTGGAATAACAGCAACAATTTAATTTGTTGAATTAACATTGATTCATTGATTACAAAATTACCTATTTTGAGCATTTAATAAATCAAGAAGTTTGTCATCGTCTTTTATTATTCTCACGCCTGAAACTTTACAACTAAGGTAATAATAATAATATAAAATAATAATAATACATAATGGAAAGAAGTGAGTGTCTGGGCCATTACTCCTCCTATCCAATATTGTATACTGTTTATTATGGTTACACTGCATACATTTCAGATCTCAATAGTATAAAGCTTTATCTAATTCATTCATCAATCATTCATTTCATTTATTCATTCACTCATTCTTCTTTTGGCTCATTCACACGCACCAGGAACAACTCTTGGATCACAAATCACTGACAACCACAACATATCTAACCCCAGTATGCTTAGCCAAGCCATTTTGCAAGATTTGCAATTAGATCAAAAAAAAACTTGTATTAATTTTTGTACAAATTTAAAATTTATTATTGTGTAATAAACAAATCTGTGATAAAATTAAAAAAGAAAATTCTTTTTTCTTTTTCAATTATTTCTCCTTTTTTGACTTTTGGCCTCCCTCCTTTCACGTGCGTGATTATATAAGTGTCACGTGTATACGGAAAATAATGGATTATAATTGACCGGGACAGAAATTATGGTAATTGTGATTGTTGCTTTTTACGTGAGGTGTACATGAATGAGTTGATAAATGGACGGATGATGGATGATAAGTATTAACGAATTTTCAGATTATTTTTAGGCGCGCTAATGGTTGTTGAACCAGTTATAGAAATATAGAATAATAATAATAACAATTAATTAATTAAAAAAAAAGTACTGAGCATTACGCCATAAGTAGTTTGAGTCTTAGTATTAAAGAAACGTCCAGCGCCACAATAGTATTATTGTGTAAATTGGTCAAGTGCGAGGTATTTTTAAAAATACATTTTTACATTTTAATATTAAATTAATTGATAACGTTACCCAATTTTATAGGCTGAAAATCACGTGGTTTTGTTAAGCTGTGTGGAAATCCGTTTCTTTTGAAACAAGGTTAAACTACAATAAATATATCATTATAATTTTCTCCCTAGAATTTCTTTTGCAATGAACTTGCAAAAATCTTACAAGTCTGCAATTTGTGTTATTCCTCCAGAACATTTATGGCCAAAGATTCAAGAAATTAGACAAAAACATGATAAACATTTCAAAAGATGGATGCCACACATTAATCTAATTTATCCTTTTACTTTACCATTACTACCGCCACCGTCGTCATCATCATCATCATCACCAAAACAAAATTTCCCAGACAATAATGGGAAAAATTTGACAAAAGATATATTAAATAATTTGCAACTGGCATCATCGACAATCAAACCATTTAAAGTAAAACTTGTAAATTTAAATTATTTTATGCACGGGAAAAAAAGTGCTACAGTTTGGCTTGAACCTGAAACACACCCTGAAAATATATTAAATGAATTGGAAGATAGGCTGATTGGTAGAAGCGATAATGGTAATGGTGATGAACGTTTTGATGAAGAAATAAAAATTGGTTTCCCTGAATTTGACGATTTAATAAAAATCGGGAACGAAGGATTTAAACCACATTTATCTTTAGGTCAATTTAGAGACGAGGTAAGCAAACAGTCAAATATAAATGATATTTTTGAAAAAATTTTTTTGTTAAATTTTTATTTATAAAAAGGTGTCGGCGAAAAACGCAATAAATAATTTTTCTTCTAAATTTTCAAGTGATCCTATAATTGAATTCGATGTGACGGAATTGTATTGGATCATTCGTAAAGGATTTCATGACCCATTTGAAATCCATGAAAAAATTTTGTTATGCTAATACCAATACGTAACTTTATTTATGTAAGGATCTTGGCGCCAAAAATACATAATCAATAAATCTAACCCTTTTTAATTTTATAATAATCGATAAAATTTATTATTTATTTTTCAAAATAAAAAAATCCATCGTGAAAAATATGGCTTTTGAAAAAACTATTATTCAAAGAAAATCATACTTGATCCGTGGTTAAAACCTTTTTGCCATAGATGGAAGGTAAAAAATTATAAATAATGTTTCTATTATTCGATAAAACAATGGATCAACAATATAAACAGTAATGAAGGTAGGAGGTGGCTTGGGGAAAAATGAAGAATGTAACCATTCAAGCATTCAATCATTCTGATCATTTTATTGTCATTTGATCAATTTTGGTTATAAAATAAATAGTACACTAAATCCATCAAGAAATTTATTAATTTATTTTTTTATTGAAAAATATAATAATAATTATTATTATTGTTGTAATAGTTAACTTGTAAACCAATTATATTTTATTTTAGTATTGATAAAAAAAACGACCATCATCAGCAAAGAGGGGTTCATCTAACTTTGCTAATTGTACTTTTGGCAATGCAAAATGATTTTATCGATTACCAGTTTGTATTAAACGCATAACTCAAGATTTATCTGTGAGTTGAGTATATATGACGGCGTCTTTTGAATTCTCCCGATAAGTATGTATGTAATTTGTGAAACGCATGGTATGTTGACTTTTTTTTTTTAATGTTTTTTAACATATTAACAATTTATGATATTTATAAAAAATTCGTGTATCAACACCAGGCCTATAAAGAATTTGCAGATAATGAATGCATTTACCTCGTATAAAGATCTAGGTTATAATGCTATTCAATTGATTATGTTTCTTTTGGATATCAAGTTTCTAGCTTTTATGTGTCATTATAGTACTTATCATTATTCATCATCATTATCATCATCATCACCATCGTTATTACAAAAAAGACAAATATAGTAATTTTCATTTTCATTTTAATTAACAGGAGCCCCTAAAGAGTTAAAATACTGCTAAGATGTTTTGGATGGCTTGAATATGTTCGATGGTTCGGATCATTGCTACTTCCATGAAGGAAGAGAAGGAAGTCATTGGTTTGGGATGGGTAATGATGATTAATATTAATATTAATTACTAAATATTTATAAATATATATATTGCTGTCAACATCATTAAAAAAAATATTATTTATTATAAATAGTTGCTTATTTAATTATGGGTGCTTCGACTTTTGCCATCAAATCTTGGGTTTTTTATGGAATAGTATAATTTGATGGGTTTAGATTTGATAATTACCAACATGATGTACATATATCATGGTATTAGAACCGGATTCTCTGGAGGTTGTCATGAATACTTTGGTGTTGTTGTGTATTTGATGCTGGTAATTATGAACTTAAAAATATTAAAAGTATGTACTGTTTTAATTAGAAAAATGATATGTTGCGCCAAATTTATACATATCTTATTACAATGACAGAAGGTTGATTTTATATCTTTCTTATTTCCATATCAAAAAACTTATTTATTATAAATTTGATGTAAGGTGTATCTGGTATGCTTGGTTCATGCCGTCCAGTACCTAAAGGTGATAAAACAATTGCTTTCTGGCTAATTGATAAAGAAATGTATACTAATATGTCCGATTTGGCTCTTCTCCCTCCAATTATTGATCATGGAATGGAATTACATATGATTATCAGGTAACCTTTCCCAATTCCTTTTTTTTTTTTTTTTTGAAAGGATGACAAAGAATTTCTTAATTAATATTATCATTCTTAATTTAGGCTGTTATTAACACTTGGACTTGGAGGTAAAGGATATCTTAATTTTGAAGACAATAAATTTGGGCATTTAGATTGGTTAGATTTCCTCGTCAAGAAAATAATAATTCATATCATTATGCAAGAATATCGTGATGGTAAACTTTTAAGATACAGATATTTGAATGAGCTTGATAAAGCCATGCAAATTTGGAAGAAATCATGGTTGGTTAGATTCACTCACATTACGTAAATAAATAATAATATTAAATAATGACAATCTTTAATTTTGATTGTTGAAAGGCTCACATCTTAATAAAACATGAAGGTTATAAGGTTATTATGTTTGAACGAGGAAACTTATGGATTCCAATTTACATCCTGTAAATTCATTCCTGACTATAAAGATGGTCTGGAAAACATACAAAATTATATTGAACTCGGGTAATAAAAGATTTGGGATTATGATAGAATTGATGAGTGCATCTTATTTTTTAACACCTGAACTTTGTAATGGAAGAAAGAACTTCATCAAGAGGTATATGTAATAATTATTCCACGGGAACCATTTATATCAATGATTTTTTACGGTGTAGCCGTGAAAATACACGTTCTCTGTATAATAACTTATTTATCCCATGGAGAGAGTGATCCAAAAAATTATTTTGCTATGAAATGTATATTTTATCGTTTATTTTTTATAAAATAAAAATTTACTGCTCTTTCATTCTTTCCCCAATTTATTTCTTGATCGAAATGTCTCGACCTAATTTTACTAGTGCAAGTGCTCTTCGCTTTTCCCAAAAAGTTCCAGAGGCCTAACATCTATTTTACCTCGAATCAGAGTGGTTGATTCCATTTTTCCAAGATCAATTCCCCTCTACACAAACATCATTTGAAATTCAAGATAAACTTACTTTTTATCGTCAAAAGGCTCTAATTTCGACAAGAACTACAATTATACCATGCCACTCAAAGAGATTACAGATTCCAAGTTAATTCAACAACAAGTTTGTGAATACATTGCAAAAATGTAAATATAAAGTAACAACAGTAAAACAAAATATTGATCAGTTCTGGAATCTGTATACACATTATTACACATAATTTATTAGAAAGAGGGATTAACAACTTATCAAGCTTTCTGCTATATTCGAAAAACTGTAAAATATACAATAGTTTGCATATTTTTCTCTTGAAAACTTTTGTTTCATTTAATTACACAGTAGCTACGCTAACCATTAGGCCACAGATAATGCCAATGACAAGGGTGAAAAAGGGAGTATATTTCATGGAAACTTTAGAGAAGTTTGTTTTTATTTTAACTCAGAGAAAATTATATAATATAATCAAATTAAAATGTTTTGATTTAAAAAAAAAAATTATTTCATCTTCGAATTGGTCTATATATGAAATTTGCCTATTACTATTATTATCCTCTTCATACGTTAATAATCATTTTGGATTATTGATCGACTCCCAAGAAATCACCTTGAAGCTCAGGAAACTTATTTACGGGTGATTTATTATCGGAATCACAAAAGACTCGAACGTGATTTTGGTAGCAACAGAACTTCCAAATAACTCGTTATTCAGAACAATTTGACAGATAAATAGAAGTTAATATTATAAAACCCAAAATTTTATTATATATTTAACAATTTACAAGCCTTAAAGGTCAAATCAATCGATGATTAGAATTACCTAATTTAATACATATTATAGCATAATAAAAATGCACATTCGTGTTTCGAATTATATAATCCAAGTTTTGTTATATAATTCTGAATTAAACATATACATCGTTTTGAAAACGTGAAAACACAATTGTTTTAAATATCCATATCTAATTCTTCAGTGATTTATATACTTTCAATTCTTCCAAGATCAAATCTTTTTCATGAAAATCATTTGGTTTTCAAACAAAATAACAATAATATTGAGGTTAATTATTAATGCAGTCGTGTATGTCCGAACGATTCGATTCGGTTTTTCGGTTTACATTTGGCCCAAAAATTTCAAACATTCTATTCGTAATATAGATCCTAATTTGAATTATTCGTAATGTAACTCAATCTTAATATTTAATTCGAATTATTCGCTTTATTCGAATTATTTATTTTATTCGAATTATTAGTTTTACTCGTTTTATTCATTTTATTCGAATTACTCGACTAAACTTTCAATGTAGTTAGAATACGAAATTCATAACGAATAAAACAAATAATTCGAATAAACTTATTCAGATCAAAAACCCTAATGATGTTTTGTTTTTTTTTCAATTCATATATAAAATTGATCGTCTCCGCCAACTTTTTAACCACACGCAAACTTTATTGCTTCAGGTTCTAAACTACAACGCCTTCGAATGATAAAGTCTATGCCTCCAGAAAAAAATCGTTCAACCGATACATTGGTTGTCATAATAAGTTTATTAAAATACCAGGGACTGCCAAGTAGTTTCTAGCCTAAAGGTTCTGTTCAAAGAGTAAACTGAAACCGGACCGTTCGAAGCTTCAATTATATCTCATGAAATTTTATATAGACTACAATAACATTAATAATTCTTCATTATGAATTAAATGTAAATTTTCAATTAATTCAGTGAAATTTAATTCATCATCACATGAAACACAAGAGTGAAATTTATTTATATAAATATTAGATTATCCTAATTCTTTACTAATTTATATACTTCAAATTCTTCTAACAAATGAATTATCTTGTTGCTATTTTTAAGGTTTAAATTTTTTTCATAACTATTAAAATATTCATAATTATAATAATAATAAAAACAATGAAGCCCATTTTTAGAGCTAACACGTATGCTTAAATCAAGGAAATCTATTAATATTAACCTTTCACAAAATTTAGTAATTTTATTACTACCATCATTATCAGGTTCTTTGACTCTTCTACTCAATATTGAATTACATATTTGATTTTGCTCAATTTTAAAAATAAAACTTTTATCAGTTTGAATCCAATAATCATCGTCCAATGACTTTTCTTTTAAATTCCAGAAAACTGGATTATATCCCCCAACTAATTCTCCTGTCTCTTTAAGTTTCATAATAACAATTGTTTGTTCGATGTTGTAGCATTTCTCCTCAATGGCCAGCCTTGAAAATCCATCTCGAAAACTGCTAAAAATCAATTCAAATTTGTATGGCAAGTAATTGTCTTCATTATTCATATTATTTTTCTCATCAATCCAAATAGATATTAAGGATTTCATTTCTGAATTTAATAATTTCCTTTTTCCTTTCCTTGGTCCTCTTTGAAGTAACAATTTTGGCTGCCATTCATTACTAAGATAGTATTCAAGAATTTCTTTATAAAATTCTTTATTAAAAATTTTTTTAAATGGTTTAATTTTTTTATAAAAATCATCTGAAGATATTTGATCAAATCTAATTAACATTATAATATTCTCTAATGCATTTTTTAACTGTATAAAATCATCTTCATCCCACTCTGAAATATCTTTAATATCTTTTCTCAACTCTTTGTTATTTTGCCAAATTCCCCATTGAATAACATAATCCCAAATTTCAACTTCTCTTAACTTAAGATCATCTTTTTCCAATATAGTTATAAGTATTGGTTTTTCAATATCAGTGAAATCATCAGATTCCAAAAATAATTCTGGATTTTCATTACAATAATCCTGAAGCAAGTTAAATGAATATTTTGATGAAATTTCATAAAGATAAATTAAGTTCTGTTGAACCCAATTTTCTTTTTTAATGATTAAATGTTTTTGTAAATCCTCAATTAATTCAGTGAAATCTAATTCATCACAAGCTTCCAACAGTTCAAGAATTTCATCTGGGTTGAAATCATCAACATTAACAATCCCCTCATTATAAATATACCTTTAAAAAAATTTTTACTTTTTAGATATATTTGATTTTTTTTTTTTTAAACTAAAAAAAAATTAATAACAACAATAAATTAAATAAATATAATTCTTACAATAATATAACTTCAAATATTTTTGGAGAGATATTTTCTTTTTCAAATAAAATAATTCCATCTTCAGACTTCTTTACCCAATTATTTGATAATCCTACTTTAAAATATGAAGATCCTGCTTTCAAAATATTAGAATTAACTTTGAAAGTTTTAACATCCTCATCTTTTCCAACCTTGATTTCCACATCATAATAATCAGATTCATTATTAAAATATTTAAAGTCATTTTGCATTTTGGATAATTATAATACTTTTCTAAAATTTTCATTTATACAACATAAATCAGGGTTTTTCCAATTTTGGAAATTGAATCTGAACCCCATACTTTTTGTTGCTTTATAATATATAATTATAATTGATATTAGTTGAAAAAACGAGAGAACATATAGATGAAACATATTAGATGTCACTAAAACAAATTGTCAATAACGTTTTAATTTCAAGACGCAAGAAAATTCAAATTTATTTTCTTATATATATATATATATATATATTAATATATATTCATTAACTAACTCTATTTATTATAGATATAAGAAAATAATTCTATTGGTCACGAATGTATGAACGTAAGAAAATTCAATTTACACAATAATTAATTGACCATTCATATTTATCAACTTTGTCATAGTTTCAATAATATCAGAGCCTGGTACTGTATGAAATTTATAATAATCATGATGAATTAAAGAAAAATATTTATATACATAGTAACTTATTATAATTTGAACTATTAATATAGGACAACATGCTATGTAAATGGCATCCTTGGCATTTCTTAATTCTAAATAGGCACCCGTAATAGTTATAAATACATATAGTTTGTTATTATTGGAATACTAAAGCATGGATGCAAAGAAGTATTTTTAAACACTATTTAGAAAGATTTAATGAAAGATGGTTCGAGAACGTAGAAATATAATCTTGCTTTTAGATAATGCAAGTTCTCACAATGCCGAAAATATACCTACTTTGTCAAATATTAAAGTTCATTTTTTTCCTCCTATTACTATATCTATTCTACAACCTTTAGATAAAAGGATAATCTATAGTTTTAAAGGTAATTAAGCAAACCTCTATTAATATTTTTTATTTTAACATAAATTATTTTTCAAATTCTTTAGTAAAAATCCCTTGTCAAAACAAATTAGAACTTACCGAGAAGCAGTGAATAATGATAAAGTATCTGAAATCAATACTTTGGAATCAAATTACAACTGAAACGATTGAAAATAGCTGGGAAAAAAACTAAAACAATAAATAATCAAAGTTCAACTGATTTAATGGTTGAAGATTTAAATCATCAATAAGAATTAAATGAAATAAATAGTTTGATTACCCTATTTCACTTTTCCGACCATTTAGATGCAAATGAATATATTACAATTGTCAAAAATACTCTTGTTCAAGAAGAAATTGTAAAATATCATTAAAGGATGAAATGAAGTTGGAGATGGCAATGATGAAACA